AAAAAAAAAAAAAAAAAAAAAAAAAAAAAAAAAAAAAAAAAAAAAAAAAAAAAAAAAAAAAAAAAAAAAAAAAAAAATATATATATATATATATATATATATATGTACATGCAGCCTATATGCAGTGGTAGTTTTGTTGCAGATGACTATGACATGTTTTTATTTAAACTAAACTCATCAGTTAATTTACCATAAATATTTTTCCTAAAATTATATGTTGAAATTCAAACCAAAGACAAATATCAACTTCACTCAACTTACTCCTCGTTTTACTGATCAAAACAGGGAGAAATATGACACTGTATTTTGTTTGCTTAACCCTTATCCGTCCTTGCAGGGAACAGTTTCACTGTAAAAAATTCCGAATCAAATTACCGTATAAAGTACCGGCCCTTTGCGTGTATCATCTGTGTAATCCATTTTCATGGTAAAATATTATTTTTACAAGTATTATTTATCTAAAAAGAGTGATTCAGCGACTTTATGGTAATTATTACTGTAAAATTAAGGTTAGTTAATTTTTTTTCGTAACATGTTCCGATAAAAATGGATTTTACGATAAAACGTTTTGGCACCGTGAGTACCGGTACTTATATTACGATACTGACGTAACAACGGTACTATCGTAATCTAGACTTTTTTACCTTGCTTACTTATACAATTTTATGATGAAATAGGCTTCTAATGTAAAAATATCGCGTATTATTTTGGAATCCTTTTTAGTGGTATGATTTAGCAAACTAAAAAAAATAAAATCGCTGGAAACAAATGAAATTTATTTCATCATAATTGAAACATTTCCGTATTAAACAAAACTGCACATTCATCAAAATATTTTCCGTTTCTAACATAAGCGCTGAATGACAAGAATCTCTTTTTACTGATCTAAGACGTTTTGAAAAGTGATATCAAAATTTCATATTCCATTTTTTTTTATCCACAGGTAATCCAATCTGAAGCGAGGAAAGAATATTAAATATTCTAAGAAAATCACGACGTACCGAATGATAAACAATAGAATATTTTAATTAATTCTCTAAGTACTTCCAAGCTAATAAGTCTTCTTTTTTTGATTAAAAATGAAGTATAACTCTGGAGAGATTTTTTCATTAAACCATCATTTATTACAAAGTAAAAGCATAATTAAAATTTGACTCGAACGAGTCTTTCTTAAATATCTTTGCTTTCGAATAAAAGAATGGAAGGTTTTACCGGCATTAATAACCGCATGTATAATTAACAATGCAGTTTCCCCATAAATTATTTCAGTAAAAACAGAATAATGCATTAAAGTAAATACTTTTGATATAGCACGTTTGATACAAAAGATAAAACAGCAGTGACAATATTTTTTGCAGGATTTTGCAATTAATTTAAAAGAATGCAGATAATAGAGAAACGTATAAGGATTTAATCGAAATGAATTCTAAGCTCCAGTATTAGATGATGACGGTATATATTTGCTTTTTTATTTAAAAAAAATATCCTAATTTTCAGGCTAACAATGCTTGGGTATTAACACTAATTGTGCTGCTGCGTGATAATTTATGTAAATTACCTCATATCTCTTCTGAAATATATTGGGCTGAAATATGAAATGCGGGCATTTTGTGTTGCAATATCGATGTGTTATTCAAGAAATTATTCAAATATGTTAATAAATAAATCTACACAATAGAAGAATTATTAGTTCCTGTTATTGTAAAACTTCTGACAGTAATTCTACATATGGCGCATTTATTTTATTTATTTGTTCGCCATTTGAATACAGATTATTTTAACATTTTAGACATTTAAAACGTTTGTACGTGTTTTAGCTATAGATAATCAAGGCTTTTTTTAATTTTTTTTCCACTAAATATTACATGATGGCTCAGAGGATAGAGAGTTCGCCTTCCAATAAGGTAAACCGAATTCGAATCCCAACTATGGCTGGTCGATACGAATTTCGATACGGCTCATACCGACAACAAGTGCTGACGGTAAATATCCTTAGTGGTAGACAGATCATGGGTCAGAGTCCCAGGCTAACCGTGGGAGGATTTTTTCAATGCGATTTTTCAACGACGAACAACGAGGTTTTTTCAAAACTCCTTGAGTTTTGCCTAATAGGTTTTCTGCTTTATACCCCCTTATTTATTCGTCTTCAGCCATAAATTGATAAAAATACAGGGGGGGGGGGTAATAACCACAGCAACGAAAAGAGCAAGAACAAATGTGTACAAGCTAAATGACTGAGTATAAATGCTTAACGGATGCAATTAAAGAATGTTTTATCCAAATCAATCTTCTGATTAAACTTAACAAAAATACTTTCGTAAACTCATGTGTGATTGGCACATTTTCATCATGTCGATAAATATAGGCCAATATTTTTGTATAAACATAATTACTATGATTTTTATCTTATGCACTTCAAATATTTATGTTCAGTTCATATACCCAGTAATTAAAATCTTAAAATGCTTATCATTTAAGCATATTATTTTTTAATAAATATTTTGTGCAAATCGAAATCTATACTATTATAATCTTTTAAAAATAATCTTTCACTTTGTTTCGTTTTAAAATTGTTGTGGAAGAACGCGTTAAGAGACCTCTTTAAAAATTTTAATTTAAAAACAACAAATGCACACTGAAAAAATTTAAAAAAAATATGGATGTAATTGCAGTATAGAGTACTGGCTTTTTGAGTACATAATCCCAAAGATCAATTTCACCGTAAAATTCATTTTTGCAATAAAATGTTATATCTAATTTTTAAAGTAATATTTGTTTAATTAGAGTGATTAACTGATTTTACGGTATTTATCACTATAAAAATTACGCTATATTAGATTCTTTTATCTCTAATATGTTCAGATACAAATGAATTTTGTGGTAAAAATGTCCAGCAGCCTAAGTCAAGGTTACATAAAAAGTCCTGGCACTCTGAGTGCCGGTACTTTTAACCGTAATTTTTTGCAGTGTGTACCCAGTAAGAAAAATAGACCTAAATGCTTATTATTTGAACATAGTATTCGTTTCAAAATATTTTATGTTACTCAAAACCTATGCTATCAATAGTCATTACAAATAAAAATCTTTCCATCTGCTTCATTTAAGAAATTTCTGTGGAAGAACACGTTAAGGAGTCTTTTAAGGAATTAATATTAAAAAAACCAATAACTGAAGAATGCACAGGAACGTCAGAATGAAGTTTTCAAAACACTTTTTTACTGTAAAAACCTCTCAATTTGAAATTGTGACAAAGCAAAGAAATGTTCTACATTTTCCGAAAATATTTCAAGAAAACTACACTCTGAAAAATTTTAAATCAAATTGCGATATAAAATACCGACACTTTATATGCAGCATCTGTAAAATTCACTTTGCTGTAAAATATCATACAGTCAATTTTACAGTAATACACTCATGGACAAAAAAATTAGCGCACCAGGAACTAATTGCGGGATCGTAACGAAACTTGCAAAGAAGATACATGTTGGGAAGATATGCAAATGATTAGAAAAGCAGCGTGATTGCGCAATACGTATAGCCGGTAGATGGCATTGAACGTCGAACTCTGTGGAGTATAAAACAGGTACAGCGTCACACCTTTCCCCCAGCTGGTGTGATGGTATGGGGCGCCATTGCCTACAATACACGGTCCCCCTTAGTATTGTTCCGTGGCACCATGACAGCCCAGCAGTATGCCCATGAAATCTAGTAACCACATGTGTTGCCCCTCATGCAACGGCTCCCATGAGCCATTTTTCAACAAGCAATGCTCGGTCTCATTCTGCAAGGGTGTCACGTGACTGTCTCCGTACTGTTACTACCAATCCTTGGCCTGCCCGATCCTCAGATTTGTCTCCAATCAAGCATATCTGGGATCATTTGGGACGGCGAGTTGGGCATCCCGCGAGCTTGAACGAACTAGAGGCAAAGTTACAGCAAATACGGAACGAAATGTCTCAAGACATTATACAGAACTTGTATGCCCCAATGCCCGATCGTAACGCATCGTGCATTCGCGCTAGAGGGGGTCCAACGGGGTATAAACTCCTCCGTTCTTTTGCCTTTTTCTCTGAAATAAATTATCCTTTTTCTTTGATTTTTTAATCATTTACTTATATCAAAGTAGTCATTACGTATGCGAAATTTCGTTTCATTTTGACGACTCCTTCTTGGTGCTCTAGCTTTTTTGTCCATGAGTATATTTATTTCTTTAGCGTGATTCAGTGATTTCACGGTAACTATTGCTTCAAAAATTACGGTGTATCAGATTTTTGCTCCGTTACATGTTCCAGTAAAAATAGCTTCGGTAGGTGTCACAGGCAAAAACAGTACCGATGATCAGAGTGCCGATACTTTTTACCGAAATTTGATCCAGAAATTGCACTAAATATCATTCTTTCACTATCTTCATTATTTGTCATACTCATGTATCCCTTTTCAACAGCAGCAGCCTTCTTTCATGGAGCAAGTCAGTTACGTCGATGGCTACTACGTTGGTTTCCGAGAACTACCAGGAGGTGGTCCGTACGTTTACAAAACTGTTAACAACAAGCATGGTCAGTCAGATGCCAACTACACACTTGTTGGTCTCAAAAGAGGTACTCAGTACAGCATAGTCGTACAAGCTTTTAACAGCCAAGGAGCTGGACCACCATCAGACGAAGTCATCGTTCAAACTTCAACAATAGGTAAAATGTTTATTGTATCTATTCAAATGAACTATTATCAAAGCAAAAATGTTGAAAAGAAGTCTTATTTTCATGTTTAAAATTTAGAAAGAATATATAAAGTCTTTTTGTAGAATAAACAATAAATACATTTTTAGCAAAAATCTAACAATGGAGGGAGGATTATAGAGCTAAGATAAATAAAAGAAGCACTTAACAGTACTTTAAAAAAATCAATAAATAAAAACAAAATTAACTCCAAATGACTAGACTTAACTAAAACCTTTATAAATCTGTTAATTAGTTCTTTATTTTCTTACCAGGTATAGTATCTTGCTAGTACTGGTGATAAATACAAAAAAATTTCCCCATCTTAGTTCATAATTCATTTGTTTCAATGAAGGATTATTTTGGCGAAAACACATAAGTTCTAAAGCTCTTTCTGATTTCATGCAGATTACCCTAACTATTTTCTAATGGCTATTGTTTGTAACTATAATAGTTAATAGTCATTAAAAGTCATTAATTTCCTTATAAGTGACAATAGCTTCCAGTCGATAGAAAAATAATTATGCATTATTATTCGATGGTTTTATCATTGAATTAATATTATCATTAATTTTTGCTAATTAAATGTTTTGTGCTTTATATTTTTACATCAATTTTATATAAATTATTTTTAAAACCTTTTAAGGACATTATATCATTTTCATTTCAAGCACTATTTTAATCAATCATAATGATTAATTACGAAAATGAATTATTTTATTTTGTAAAGAATATTTTCCAAATTATGATTTAATTTTAGATGTTTTATTCATTTTATAAGTTTAAAAGTTATAATCAAATCAATGCGTGTAATGATAAATCTTAAAATGAAGTGTTTTGCATGTCTTTTTTAAGTAAGTCAAAGCGAAATAAGAAAAGAAAAATTTTAAACAATTATTGTCTATATTCTAAACATTTTATCTTAATAAAACTATAGTTCCTCGTTATAATAAAATAGAGTTTTTATACAGTAATGTGCATATAAGATACTATTAAGTCAACTTTTAATGGGATATATTTTTTTCTTCAAATTATTGCGATGTCAGTATAGCTAGAACGCTATAAATTCTGTATAAAATTAAGTAAAAAGTACAAGCACCCTGAGTACAGTTATATTTAACCGCAAAATCCTTTTTTACCTTAAAATTTTACCAAGCAAAAAAAATCTGATATACCGTGCTGATATATCCGATATACCGTTAATTTCAGAGTAATTTTTCTGAATCACTGTATTTCTATAAATACTATTATAAAAATTATGATACGGTATGAATGGATTTTACTGTAAAATGGGTAATTGTCTAAAATGGATACATAATTATGGATTGAAAAGTTATCGCAATGCAATATGCAGTAGCTACTTAATTTAAAAAACGTTTTCTTAATCATTCATTTTTATTAGTATTTTTTTAGAAAATATTTGTTCAGAAACAAGTGAAGCCTTTTGGGGGGAGGGGGGAAAGACTTCACATTTTTCCCAATTCATTCATTACAAAATTTTTAAATGCATTACATTGCTCGACATGCGCAGGGCATGTAAACATTCCAATCTGGTGTGTAATTTTTACCCCTACATGCCACGTTAAAATATACAATTTAACACGGAGAAGAAAATTCTGGTAAAATTACCATACTATATGGTAATGACAATTCTAGTAAAAAAAGCATAATTCTATTAATAAAACCTAAATATTAGGAATTTAAATCAGTCATTTGATAATTATCCCGTTCATATACCAACGGTTCACCGGTAATTCAGAGTTTTTTTTTAAATTATAGTTTTTATAGTTATATGTTAGTTAAAAATTCAAAACTGAAAAGTAAATTTAAATAAATAAAGGGTCTTTATGACATGCCTTGAGGTATCATGATAAAACTACCAAATTTTATCATATTTACTCAATTTTAACCGCTATTATATAATAATATTTTAACTTAAATTTTACCAAACTTCTGAGTAAAGCACCTCGGTAAAAATCACCGAGATTTTCTGCTTTTCACATAGAGCCAGAGACACTGTAAACTTTACCATATTTTGGTAGTTTTAACCATACTTTTTTTCACGGTGTGAATAACATAAAATGATAATAAAGTACCTTTTGAATTCTGACGATACCAAAAGTAGCACTAAAAGGTGAGAAAAAAAAAAGAAAATCAATTGTATTTAATAAGACTAATTATTTATCTAAATTCCTTTTTTCATATAAATATAATTATTTTTTTCATTCCCCACACCAAGCATAATTATTTATCTAAATTTCTTTTTTCATATAAATATAATTATTTTTTTCATTCCCCACACCAAGCATATTTTAATTAAAGAAAAAAACGTTTACCTCAGTCACTGTGTGCAGGAAAAGAAAATAATAAATTGATAACTTTATATTTATTTTAACTTAAATTAATTTTATTGTCATTTTATAAAATTTGTGTCCCATTCATTGTCTGTGTTTAATAATATAACATTGTGACCTTTCCGTCTGACACTTCAGAGCAAAACAAAATCAGCTCAAACTCAACTTTAAAAATTATATTTAATTTTATAATTTATTATTCATTTACATAATCTACAAGTGTGACAGTAATAGTATTTATTAAACCCCAAGTTATGCATTGCTTATAGCATTGCTTATAGAATGCATATAGTTCAAGCGCAATTTTTTTTCTCTCTTCAATAAAAAGGGTAAATACAAAAAGTAAAAAATAAAATACTAAAACCTTTTCGTACAGTTTATTTCAAATGTCAAGTTATTATTAATTTATTTTTTAACAATCGGATAAAGCAGATTCAAAATGTACTTTTTATAAAAAGTACTATTTATGAAAAGTACTATACTCTTTATAAATTTTTACATTATTCAAAATGAAATTATTAAAATTTACTTTAAACCTTTAAATGTGAGCATTTCTTAAATTTAAAATATTCATTTATTTAATTTATTGTCGACGTTTCTTAGAATATTTTAAAGCATAATTCATGTAAAGAATCTTTAAATATTTATTTTAAAACACATATTCTGGTTTTTTTAACTAAACTTTTAAGTTTTTATAATGCATCCAACAGTAAAATTTAAACAATAAAGTGTCAGGAAAATTCATTTTGTTTAAGGAACAATAGAACAGATATTTCTTTTGACGATTTGAAAATGAAATAATGCTTACTTCTTAACTTGATTCCCGAAAATTTTATAAAAATAGAGTCTTGTTAATAAAAATACTCTCTTCATTATTAAAACACTTTTTTTCACTTTAACTAATGCATTTGTCTAAATTTTAAGGATTGAAACAACAGTTTGTTTGCTTTTACAATAATATGTAAATGTCTTAAAAAATTATTGCTTATATATATATANTTTTTTCCCTGAAGATGTATGAAAAACATTGCTTTCTACAGATGCTACCTATACATTTTTATATTTAAAAATGAAAATAATGTAAAGAGTGGCATTAAAATTTTGAATTCAGAGATAACTCCAATTTTTTTTTAATGCAAATATATATATATAAATGTATTTGGATTCTCCAAGCTAATTGTTAAGATAGTTGCAAAGTAGTTACTACCACTATTAAGCTAGTAATGAGAAATACAAAACTGAAAAGTAAAATTCACCAAATAAATAATTTTTATGTCGTACTCTATAGTATCATGATGTAATTACCAAGTTTTATTCTATTTACCAAATTTTCGTAGATTATAAAGCCATACTTTGGTCTTAATTTTACCAAAATCATTATCAACGCTCTTCTATAAAAACGACTGAACTTTTTGTTGCTCATAGCCAGAAACTTGATAAATGTTACCATGTTTTGGAAGTTTTGTGAATGCTCTTTTTTTTGTCAGTGAGGAATTATCATTATATTTCATTATATTATATATGTTATTTGATTTCTTAATCATTAACAAACAGTTGTCTTAAAATCCATTTGTATCCAAATTATCAGGCTATCAAATTATATTATACAGGCTATCTAAATTATCGTGCTTAAAAACATAGTTGACTTTAAACACCATATGAATGCTCCAATAGGCTAAAAACGCTCAAAATTTTAACTGCTCCTTACAGAAGTATAGTTTTAAAATTTGAAAAAATCTCTAAAAACTGCGCAAGATATGACTATTGAAAATAGTTCTTTTATACTGCAAGTGCGTGAAAAAAATTTTAAAAAAAATTCCTAATCTTGTAGTGAATTGTATTTGCCAACTAAAGAAAAAATCTGATTTGAATTCCTTAAAAATTCAAAAAAATTCAAGTAATCTTCTAAGTAGTTTTTCCGCTTATTTCAGCGAAAAAAGAGCTCAAAATAAGTGGTTTTTCATAAATTTCATTTTGTACCATGAGACAAAATTTAATAAATAATTATAATATCAAGCAATAATCGTCCGGACACCAAACTGTGATGGTATGTAGAAACAAAACGTTTTTTATGGGGTATTATCCCAGCAATACTGATATCATTTTTAATAAATCTTGTTTAATTGTTCAGAATGAAATTAGTTAAACACCTTTTATCATTATGAGCAATTTTTAAAAAAGTACAAAAACTACATTAAAAAATTGCATATAAGATTATTTAATACTTTAAGATATTTTAAGATATTCAAATAAGACTTTTTTCATTAGTTGCCAAGTACGATTCACTACAAAATTAAAAAAAAAAATTTTTAATTTTTCCACGCATATAAAAGAATTACTTTAAACCGTCATATCTTGCACAATTTTTAACGAACTTTTTTTCAAATTTTAAGACAATAAGTTTGCTGTTATTTTTAATTGAACAAAAAATTTTGCTTTTTGTATTGAATATTTTTAAAGCTTGCAGCAAAAAACTTAAAAAACTCAGTTTTTTATGAGAATGTCAATATTTTCAAAAATATTTAAATTATGTATATGAAATTTCAAGCACTGATTGTAAATAACAACCAAAGTAATCGGTGTAAGTTATAAGTGTAATTGCTTGTTTTTCCGGCGTAAGGTGCTCAAAATAAATTTTTTTCGTTCGTAACTTATAGTCGGTCCCTGAAATCTTTGAAAGTTTCAAACTTTATTGCTAAGCATGAAAAAACGCATGAACTATTAACCTTCAAAGTTAAGAAATAAACCTCTAAGTATTTCTTGAGAAATTTTAAAAAGTTTCAGAAACTGAAAGTGTCTCTTCTATTATAGCAGGGTAGTGTATAAGCAATTTACTCATCAACTTTTCATGCTGATCTTATTTCAACAAATGGATGACTTAAATAAATATTTATATCAAATAAGGTATAGGCTTTTAAAATTTTCATGTTTTCAAAGTTTATGATAATATAAAATCTGAGTGCACATTCTATAAACTAATTATTTTTTGGGTCCTCAAAGTGATTTATATTTTAATTTGAAAAGGTTATTTGAATGATGAAAAATGTGAAACTTTTAAATGTGTATTTTTTTCCCTGAAGATGTATGAAAAACATTGCTTTCTACAGATGCTACCTATACATTTTTATATTTAAAAATGAAAATAATGTAAAGAGTGGCATTAAAATTTTGAATTCAGAGATAACTCCAATTTTTTTTTAATGCAAATATTTCATAAAGGTTGAAAATGAAATTACTTTCATGCAACAACGTTTATTTTCATTAAAAGTAATCAGGTTAATGATAAATATAAAAGAAACACTCCAGAACATATAAATTAAATTAAATTTAAAGAATAATTTGAATCTTAAGGTTAGGTAGAAAAAAGCTTATTGCTCAGAAAAAGGAAACACGTAAAAGTTAATTTAAATGGTCAAATAAAAAACTTATTGGGTTATTTTACAATTATTATACAAAAAATTGCGTAATTTAATCTCCTTCAAATAAATCAACTGAATTACCCAAAAGGATGATTTAATGACGTATTTATTGATGAAAGACCTTATGTTTGAATTCGGTTGTTTTAAAACTCAGTTTTGCATGATTTAATAATGCTTGACATTTTTTAACTTCCTTTTCTTGGAATATTACTTTTCCAAAGTATGGACAGTATTATATTTGCTGTCTCAGTTCTAAGTTAGCATAATTTTCGAAAATCAGTCAATGTTTATTAAAATGAGCCTTGGAATCATATTTTAGATTGTTAATGAAGCTCTTAAGATCTTGCAAAGAGTATAAAAAGTGAAGTTAACAAGCAATGTAAGCCAAAATACAATAAAAGAAATTCGATACAGATGGCTAATTTGAATCTTCTCTAGAGAAAAAAGATCAAATTTGAGTAAAAAAAAAATTTAAAAAAAAGAGGCACGTTTGTAATTTGAGTAATAAAGTGATAAGCTGCATTTTTTAAAATTTTTTTTCAAAATAGGGTATTTTAAGAGCTTTTTGATTTAAAAAAAAAACATGTTTATTATGTAAGCTAAAATATTCTCCTGTTACATAACATGCTAAAAGATTTTGCAACCGTATTATTATCTTGAACACATTTCGGTATTTCGGTTCACCATCTGAGTATTATTCCCAACTTTTTCAGTACTTACAGAATGTTGATGATTTTATTAAGGAATGATTGGTTAAGGAAAAGTTTATGAGTTTAATTGGAAAAAATAGTACGTAGGGTCACAATTTTATTCAGAGTTTCAACGTTTAAGGAACTAATAAAGTAAAATATTGAAAAGGAAAGAACAATACAATGTAATGTACAATTGGCATTGATATTAATTTCTTTTTCTTTTTGAGATGTTGCAAAATTAAAATATAACTTACATTTTTGAGTTCTGTAACTTAAAAAAAGATTCTGTAACTGAAAAAAAAAGTTGCAAAGTTAATGAGCAAGCTTTTTTCCATACAAAGAGTGTAACAGTTTTAATGTTAAAAGTAATTTTAACAGTGCCATCCATTTTTATTAATACTATATTAGTCTCTTTAATGTAACATGTTTTTTCTTTTTTTGGACATTTTCTTATTGAACTTTCACACAAATTTTTTAATTTGGAAAATGGAAATCTTTAGGCATTTGTTTCACCTCTTTTTATTTTTTTAGACCCACCAGACGCTCCTATTGTAAGATTCACAGACACTACAGCTACCTCAGTGAATTTAAATTGGGAAGCAAAATCCACTAATGAAAGACCAATTTCTGGTAAGAATAAAACTGGAAAATGGTATATTAATTTTTGCTATAAATGGTGATAATTTAAATTCTTCTCTATGCTCAATGCTTATGTTCATGAGGAATTTCCGATTTCCAGACGAAATTGGGATTGCAATGATTCATTTAGTGCTTAACATGCTTAATAGATGGCAGCACCAAACATCCAGTTTATTGTTGTTATATCATCAATATAAAAGCTTACTATACTTTTAGAAAACTAATTACAGTATACTGCATTGCTATATACTTGTAAAAATATAATACAATATTTGCCACAAATATATTTTCATTCAATAGTTTCAGATAACATAAATTTTACCATCAAATTATGAATTTTAGTTTTCTTTGTTCGTTTACATTTCTTAAAAATTCTAGAAGATAGCGGCACTACAATAATTATTCAACGTTTTCATTTTTAAAACTTTGACAATGATTCCAGATATATGCTTACTAAATAATTATTAATTTTTATTTACTTATTAATTTTTAGCTTATTTTTAATATTTAATTAATTAGTTAATATTTATTTAGTTATTAATATTTAAATAATTAATTAATACTTAATTAAATAGTTAATATTTGCTTAATTAATTAATAAATATTTAGTTAATTGACTTAAAAATATTTATAAGTATTATCTTTAATTTTTAGGTTTTATTCTAACATATAAAGGGAGTTCGGGTCAGTGGCATGAAACTAGACTTCCAGCTTCTAGACAAAGTTTTGTGTTAGAAAATTTGCAATGTGGCACATCATATCAAATTGTATTAACAGCTTATAACAGTGTTGGCCACGGGGAACCAAGTGAAATGCAACAAGTTGTGACAAATGGTAGAGGTAAGCGTGTAAATATCTTATTAAAAATGAAAACAAATAGTTTTTATCATATTTTTATTGAAGCTGAGAACCCGTTCTTCATACCGGGTGAGAAATAAAGCATCAAATAATCAGTACTAGACAACTCTGCGAAATCGAGCATAAAACTTTTAGACTACTACTGTCACAAATAAAAAACTAGAATAATTTTAATATTTTTTCTTCCCCATTACCCATTGGAAAAATGGGTGTTGTTTTGTGTTTGATGGCGTGAGTACCTTATTTGGACGTCATTACAATTTTCATCTGCGTTCAAGAGTAATAGTAAACAGTGCGCATGCGTCGTCATTGCCTGCGTTGCTATGGCGAACGCTACAGTTTGATAATTTTTTTAGAATTCTTTTTTTCACTTTTAATTTTGTTATGCAATAGTTTGGTGAGTTTATTTTCGAGATATGGGACCAGAGAGATCCCATTCTTAAGTTATGAATGAAAGAGACTTCATAATTTGAACGATAGTTTTGTTTTTATTGTTTTTATTAAGAATCAGAAATTCTAACCTACAGTTCAAACTGAATCGTTTTCAATACAAATTCAGGAGAATATCATAAATAAAGACTATAAAAAATTATAAAAAAATAATAATAATAAAAAATAGACAACAACTATTTCGCCAATGGGTAACCAGTGATCGCCTTTCAGCGATCACAATTTTTATTTATTTTTATTTGCATTAAAATCAAGCCATGAAAAAAACATCTAATCTGTAGTTTCATAAATTCAAATTTTTCTGCTGTTCAAATACAATCATACTATTGTAAAAATTAGTATTAATTAAATTAAGAAAAACATATGTGCATCAAAATCCACGTAATTCGTAAGACGGCACCTAATGCATTTATCCAAGCGTTGTGTCCACTTCTTAAAAACATGTAAAAGTCCGTTTTTCGAGAGCTTTTTTAAAACCGTCTCCGCACATGCTTTGTTTCTTGCAAAATGTTTGCCTCGTAATGTTTTCTTAATTTGAGGAAACACCCAGATATTGCATGGAGCGAGATCAAGACTGTATGGAGGGTGTGGTAAACTCTCTACGATGTTCAGCTGAAGAACATCCTGTAAGCAACGAGCAATATGTGGTCGGGCATTGTCATGGTGCAATAGGAAGCCATTTAAGAGCAATTGACGTTTCCTTCGAACGTGCTGTACCATTATTCGTAGGACATTCACGTAGTACGAGCAGTTCGCGGTATTACCGGGTTCGACAGCGTGTTAATAAACTATTCCTTCATGATCAAGAAAAATTATGGTCATAACTTTACCAGCAGATTTTAGTTTTTGCTTTCTTAAGATGTTGAGAGTAGGCGAAGACAAATGTTTCCATTCACTGCTTTGTTGTTTCATGGATGGGTCAAAGTGGTACAACAAAGTTTCGTCTGCGGCGATGATGCGTTTTAGGGAATTGTCGCCTTCGTGTCTTAATTTTTCTTTCCATTCTGTGCACACATCCACTCGATGCAGCATTTGCTCAGGTCTCAACAATTTCGGAATCCATCACGCACAAACACGTTTCAGTTGCAAATGTTCTGCCATGATGCAGTGAACACTTCCTACAGAAATATTCAGGAGAGCATGCAGCTGACGTATTGTCATTCTACGGTTCTCCTTGATGATAGCCGCAGCTGTGTTAATCATTATCTCTGTAATGGACTTGGAAAGTTGTCTCTCGCGTTCAATATCTTCCACATTTTGCTGGCTTCCTTAAAAGCTTTATGTCAGCCAAAAATACTTGCCCTCGACATTGCTTCATCGTTGAAAGCTTCACGTATCATGACATTGCTTCACGTATCATGTCAAAGATCTCCGATGCTGATTTTTGCAGACGAACACAAAATTTAATCGCATAACGATGTTCCATCGTAGGCACCCGCAAACACGCTTCAGTTCAACCATGTGATACGCAGGAACCCGCCACCTACACGCTGTACACGCCATCTATCGGTAGCTTTTGTAAATACGGACAACAAACTTTCTTATGCTACAGAAATTATCATTCCGATGAGTGGTTTCGTGGCAGTAAAATTAGTCTTATTACATATTGAATAGCCCTCGCAGTAAATGGAAAATAATGAAATTAATTGTAATTATTGAAAACTATAAGTTTTTCAGCTTATATTTTTTGCAGATTGGCAGATTCTGTGATAACTATTTATTATAATATGTCGCCCTTATAGGTAGATTTCTGTTAAAAGATTATGTGAAACATATTTTTAGTATTCCATGCCATGGAAATTACGACTAACTGTATTTAGTATCATCTGGCATAATGCTTTTGCTCAAAGCAACTCATGATATTCATAATTTACTACAGATCAAACTACTTCATAATGTACTTATATCTACGAGGAGCCGTCATACATCTATCATAAAAATGCACAGTATTGGTGCAACTGTAATCAGCACCAAATTTACTCTTAAATATGTTGTAGCTACTAAGGAGGTATTGACTAAAACTGCACCAATTACCATATCTGTAGTGCACATTACCAATATTAAACAATATTCTTACCAGATGGTACCGCAAAACGAATAAGTACATTTTTCTATTAACTTTTTTTACCAAATTAAAGTGCATATTACCAAAATGAATTAAGCATTAGTTACACCAATAATAGTTTGGCAAATTTTTTACTCTCTCTTAAATGAACTGAGAGTCATTTCTCCGTTAATTTTACTTTCACGCGCATGGCTTATTGTTTTAATCCAATGAGTATTTTACCAAAATTAATTACTATTAGCATCAATAATAATATTGGTGTTTTTTATGTTTATAATCAAGGAATTTCCATTCCTCCATAAATTTTGCTTTTCAGAACAGAATTTATTTTTTATTTTTTCAATTACAGTCAATTTTAAATTATTTAATTTTACAAAAATGACGTTTTAATAGCGTAACTATATTAAAAAAAGCAACGTGGTTTCAGATAATCTTAAAAGTAATAATTTGATGATGTTGTTTACTTTTGCTATCCTGATCATGTTGATTATTCAGATAACCAGGCAGAAAGATTAAATCTATGTACAGAAAACTTGCACGCAAAAAAAATAGAAAAAAAAAAGAAAGGAAAGATTTAATCGAGTTTAAAGACAAAGATATAACCTGATTTATCCCTTTTTTCTCCGCTATGGTTTTTCTAGTTTTGGTACCACCTTTATTTTTCCTTTGTTCGTTGTAACTTTACTTTTTATTTTTCCAAATGCTTTTCGATGCTGATTCAATCAGATTCTAAATTTTTCTTAAGAGAAGCCACCTTTTTATTCACCAGATATTCTTATAGAAGCATTTCGTGTATAGAACAGACCAGAATAAACCCTAGACGTCTTATTAGATAGAAATAAATCGTAACTACTTTTTCACTGTAGCAAATTAAGCATTGGAAAATCTGCGTTTCTTATTTGATTGGTAATTTTAAGTAAAAATTAGACTATTATTAAAGTTTGTTTAATTAAAAGGACAGAACCTTAAATAAAGTGTAAAACTAACATCTTTTAAATATTAATATGCAGGTGGGCCCTGAAATCCAGAGGCAGTGGGCGCGTGTCCCCTTTTGCTCATGGAATAATTGGTTTCTGGCTCACAAGGTCCTAATATTCCATCACATTATGTTGCATTTCTATCTACACGTGTGCCCAACAGACATGAATTACTTCATTTTAAGGATTTTTATCTAACCAGCGTTTCGTAACATGACTGGGCAAAATTATTTTACGAACATTCAATTCTTTCTTTTTTTATTTATTTTAACTAGTTAAGTTAATTTAGACACTCATTTTCTACGTATATATA